CCCCCGCCGCCTTGGTGTTGTGGATTTTCTCGGGGGGGGGCGGCGGGGGCGGCAGCGGCTTCGATCCCGCGGCGAGGATGATGGGGGCCAGCCCCGACACCGAGGGAGGAAGGAGGAGATCTCCCGGTTCGCCCCCCTCGCTCTGCGAAGCCTCCGCCGGGGTTTTGTCACCGTTCTCCAAATTTGTCCGAAGGCTGGGGACGATCGGGGGCCTCCTGGGATTCGGGGTCCTCCTGGGAGTCAGGGGCGTCTCCTGGAAGGACGGACAGGAGGGGAAAGACGGACAAATGGAGGTCAGACCATCCACCGAAACACCACACCCTGCTTCCAAATGGAACGGGCTTCTCTCCGTGCCGCAAGCGCCGATCCCCGGCCGGCCCTGACCTTCCCGGCAGCTCCCAGCTTGGATTTCAGCTTCATCCCGTAGTACTGCGCCGAGGCTTTCGGCACGGCGCGGCCGGGGCGGCTCGGCCCCGGGGTTTTCAGCTGCCGGTTCAGGTGCGCGCCCCAACAACCGGAGTCCGGCACCTTCAACGACACCGCAAACCGTTAAATCCAAACCATTAAATCCCCAAACTCCGTTAAATCCGAATATTTCAGTCAAAAAAAACACGAATGGGATTGCGAAGACGCGCTCCGATGCTTCTGAGGAGAAAGGAGCTCCGATGTCATCGCGCCGCAGCGCCTTGCGGCCGCGGGCAGCACGTCCTGCGCGTTTTGGGGTGAAAACCGCGGCTCCGGGGCGTTTAACGCCTCGTCCCGAGCACAGGGGCTGGCTCCATCGTTGCTTCGTTAAGAGGCTGATTAAAACGAGCCCGCGCTTTCAGCAGCCCAGAGTCTCGGGGGTTTCGAGGCTCCTGGAGACAAAACCCCCAGGAAAAAGGGTGGGGGGTTTCTCCGGTACCTGCTCCGCGGTCGGGGTCTCCTGCGTCGCCGGCCGGCCGGAGGGGCTGAGCCGGGAGGGATCTGCCTCCTCGCTCTGCCGCTTGAGCGCCTTGTACTCCCTGTAGAGCCCTGTGATGCGTCGGCAAGGTCGGTTTGTGGTGTTACCGGCAAACGCCGGCGGTTCCCACGCCGGGAACCGGCAAAGCGCGTTGCCAAAAACCTCCCCCGACGTCGAACCATCCCGAGGGCGAGGGTTCGGCTCAGCACGAGGGGGTCACCCCCCACCCACGGGGCACCCACAGCTCTGGGTGAGCACTCCAGGCACCCGTGGGGGGAACCCAGAACCCCTCAGGACCCCAAAGTCCCCTCCGGAACCTAAAATATCCCCCCAGGACCCCAAAATCCCCTCTGGAACCTAAAATACCCCCCA